CCAACATCTGCATCTAGCATCTGCATACAACCATCTGCTTCCAACATATGCATCCAACCAGCTGCTTCCAACATCTGCATCAACCATTTGCTTCCAACATCTGCATCTAACATCTGCATCCAACCAATTGCTTCCAACATCTGCATACATCTGTATCCAACATCTGCATCCAACCATCCACATACAACCATCTGCATACAACCATCTGCATACAACTATCCACATCAACATCTGTATCCAACATCTGCATACAGCCGTCCACATCCAAGATCTGTATCCAACATCCTCATACAACATATGTATATAACATCTGCATCCAACATCCAGCTATCTGTATCCATCTATCTGCATCCAACATCCACATCCAACCATTTATATCAAACATCTGCATCCAGTCATCTGCATTAAATATCTGCATTCAACCATCTGTGTCCAACATCTGCATCCATTCATTTGCATCCAACATCTGCATCCAACCATCTGCATCCAACCATCTGCATCCAACATCTGCATTCAACCTCTGCATTCATCCATAAGTATGCAACCATTTATCCACTCATCCATCCATCTTTTTGATCCTGTTCAACTAAAATATTTTCTCACTGGTTGAGATTAATTATCTTGTCCTGTCAATTGGCTTTTGAAGAACTCAAACTGGTTGTTAGCTGCTCTGGATTAAATCAAACAGATGACTCATGAAACTCATTTTTTACTGCTTGGCGAAGTCTGTAGAGTTTATGAATTATGCTCGTTGGCATGTATGTTGACATGTTTTCGCACCTCCTCCAGCTTCCTGTGTCTCTTCAGTAGCTCCGCCTCCAGAGGGGAAATCTTCCTGTGAGCTTCCACTTCCTGTTTCCTCTGACGGATCAGCTGATCTCTCTTCCTGGACTCTAGAACTCTCTGTAGTTCTGGTTTGGTATCGATGCTGGTCCCCCCTCTGCACATGCGCGCACACACACACACACACACACACACATATGTTGTTTGTATGTTATGACAGTTTTCATGGTGTAGTTGTTTCCATCAGCAGGGTCAGCAGCAAAAACAACTGAAGGTTGCCTCTCAGTAACTTTAGAAAACACTGTCCATGATCAATAAGTCTCTGATCGATCTGTCAGTGATCAATAAGTCTCTGATCAATCAGTCCCTGATCGATCTGTCGGTGATCAATAAGTTCCTGATCGATCTAACAATGATCAATAAGACCCTGATCAATCAGTGGATGATCAACCAGTCGATGATCAGTAAGTCCATGATCGATCAGTCACTTCGTAATGGTCAGTGATTACTGTTTAGTCAGACATTGATTACTGGTGATCAGACTGATTGATCGTGTTCTGTGAGAACAGGAAGTGTTTTCCATGTTTGTGCGTCTGTGAATGTGTTCCACTGTGAGGAGGTGGAAACTTTCCCAGCATGCTCGGCAGTGCCAGAGGCCCTGGAGGTCGTTGCTTAGCGACGCTCATTCATCTCTTCACAAACAAGAAGAGCTGCTCTCTGATTGGTCACCGCCAGTCAGAGTCCAGTTTGTAGAACATGGTTCTGACCTGGTTGGTTCTGGACGGAGAACCAGAACCCTAAAACCCACAAACAGAACACGTTCTAAAAAATTATAATTTTAATCTGAAAACGTTCCTCCTCTGTTTAAAATGTCTATTATTTAGTTTTTTGCCCAACGGAGAGAAGATTCACAAAAAACGGTCAAAATGTCCCCCAGACGGGCGTGGAGGGTTAAAGCCGGTCCTGTGTGGACCTCCAGCTCAGACTTCAGAACCATCATCAGAGTTTAATCGGGTCACAGGTAGTTGGACTGAGTTGTCAGAACTTAAACTGTTTTAACACGATCACAGCTGAACATGGAGGATTTAATGTTCAGCTTAGAGTCTGATGTCACAAACACTTTCAGTTCTTCTTTTCCACTTTCTCCATCCAGTCAGAGTCTCTGGAGTACTGATGGTTCCTCTCAGTGGTCAGAGGTCAACACCCAAACTCCCGTTGACTTCCACTGCATCCAAACTCAAAAAACAGGAAGTTCTTTGATCATACATCTGAGGATTACTTTTTACTCTGTGTTTCAGCCTGAAGTGCTGCTGTTTGAAGCCCCTCTCTATCACCATGGCAACCAGTGACTCAGAAGGTTGCTGGTCTTCTATATTACTCAGCATGCTGTGTTTCCATCATGGCTGCCCCCCACAGATCCTTCACGTCGCTGATTGGACCTCTGATGATCAGAATTCAGTCAGAGGGTCGGCAGGAAACAGGAAGAGGACTGAACCTGGAGTTTCAAAATAAGAGTCTGGCTCTTTCATACATTAAATTATAACATATGATGTTCTGACTTCTTGTTATTTGCATCAATCAGTCCATCATCCATCCCTCATCTGGTTCTGAGGTCACGTCTCAGGGGCAGCATCTTGAGCAGGGAAGTCCAGACCTCTCTCTCCACAGCTACCTCTTCCAGCTCTTCTGGGAGGACTCCATGGTTTTCCCAGACCATCTGAGACATAGTCTCTCCAGCGTGTCCTGGGTCTTCCCCGGTGTCTCCTCCCAGTTGGACATGTCCAGAACACCTCCCTATGGAGGCGTCTAGGGAACATCCTTACCAGAGTTCAGGACCATGTGTGAGAGTAGGAACGTAGACCGACCAGTAAACAGGGAGCTTCTCCTTGCAGCTCAGTTTCCTCTTCAACATAACGGACCGGTACAGAGTCAACAACGTTGCTGAAGCTGCACCGATCCATCCATCCACAGAGGCTCAATGGGACTAACCTGTATAAATAAAAGTTGAATGAATGAATCTGTAGATCTCACGCTCCATTCTTCCCCCACTCATGAACAGAACCAGAGATATTTGGAGTCCTCCACTGGAGGCAGAACCTCATCCCCAACCTAAAGAGGACATTCTGAGGACCATAGCCTCAGATTTGGGGGTGCTGATTCTCATCCCAGCCACTTCACACTCGGTTGCGAACCGCTCTAGTGAGAGCTGAAGATCATGGCACGATGACACCAACAGGACTACATCATCTGCAAAGAGTAGAGATGGAATCCTGTGGCCACCGAACCGGACTCCCTCCGCACCCCTGGCTGCACCAAAAAATTCTGTCCATAAAAGTTGTGAACAGAATCTGTGACAACAGGCAGCTCTGGTGGAATCCAGCTCCCACTCTGAAGGGGTCCGACTTACTGCCGGCAATGAGAACCAAAGTCTTGCATCGCTTGTATATGGATCGAACAATCCGTAGCAATGGACCCCCAATCCCATACTCACAGAGCTCCCCCCACAGTATACCTCGAGGAACACAGTCAAATGCCTTCTCCAAGTCAACAAAACACATGTTGACTGGATGGGCAAACTCCCATGTCCCCTCGAGGACCCTAGTGAGGGTAAAGAGCTGGTCCATGGCCGGGAAAGATCTGTCCTTGTTCCTCCTGGATCTGAGGTTCGACCAACAATCTGACTCACTTCTCCAGCACCCCTGAATTGACCTTACAGGGAGGCTAAGGAGAGTGATGAACACTTTAACTGGAGCGAGCACAATCTCTGGTTCCCCTTTTTGAAGAGGGGAACCACCATCCCAGTCTGTCAATCCAGTGGCACTGCCCCCGATGTCCACGCGATGTTGCAAAGATGTGTCAATCAAGACAGTCCAGCAACATCCAGACCCTTAAGGAACTTGTGACTGTCCTCGTCACCCATAAAGTCTTGAATGCTTGTCCTTGCTATTCCAAACTGTCTCCTTTCTTCAGAATAATTTGCAACAAAAACATTACGTTGTGAAAAACTGTTATTTTGTCATAAAATCTGTCCCATCCTGTAGGACATCTTGATGTCTCAAAACTGTCATGGTGAGAGCAGAAACACGTACCGCCTGCAGCTGCTCAGCAGCTCTTGGTGAAGCTCCTGGTGACTTCTGGAAGCTTTGACAGGATTCACCAGCTTCCTTGGTCTGATCAGGTCTTCGTCATTGTCCAGGTAGTCCGGCAGGGGGACATAGCTGGACACAGGGGATGTCCTCCCGTGAACACCTTCAGAGCGGTGCTGCTGCAGATCTGCATACAAGAAGGGAGGACACAGAGGACACGGTTATGAGAACAGTCGGAAATATTCTGGGCAGAAACCTCCTCACAGTCCTCAGAGAGACATCAGCTTGCAGGGGACACTAATCATTCAAGTAACTCATTAAAATGTATTTTCAAAACAAATGTGTCTTTCTCTAGGTCTCTGTCTTCATCTGTCTGTATATAAATGCAATTGTTCCCAAGTCATTCATCTCCAAACTTTCTCTTCCGTCTTTTTGTTTCCACGCATTGGAGTTGACGACGCCATCATCTACCTGCTGCACAGAGCCTACACGCACCTGGACCGCTAACACCAACGCCCTCTACAAGAAAGGGCAGTCACCTTTTTCTTCTGAGGAGACTCAGGTCCTTTAACGTCTGCAGGACCATGCTGCAGATGTTTTACCACTCAGTGGTCTCCAGCATCTTCTTCTACACTGTGGTGTGCTGGGACAGAAGGGTGAAGAAAGCTGATGCCAACAGACTCAATAAACTCATGAAGAGGTTCAGTTCTGGGAGTGGACCTGCAGTCTTTGACAGGAGTCTGAGCAGAGGATGCTGAGGAACCTGCTCCAGATCCTGAACAACATGTCACCCCCCCTGCATGACACCCTGGACTCTTACCGCAGCACCTTCAGTTGTAGACTGAGACCACTGTAGTGAACTAAGCCTCAGGTCAAAACCTGACCCTGAGGACCTTCGTGGGACAGGAACTGTTATTTCATTGATTTGAGTCCAGAAAAACAAATTAAGCTCATCCAGAGACTTTCCAAGTGTGTCCTGCACTAATCAATTGAAAGAACACTCTCTTTTTTATTATCATTACTATTTTACAATATCTTGATAATCAAAGTGTGTTTAGTTCAAACCATTTTAAATGTTGAAGTGAACTACTCATTTTAAATCAACTGTGAAACAGTATTAATGATTTTTTAATCCTCATTCAAAGTAGAAATCAAGTTAATGTCTGTTACAGAGTAATTATGCATTTTTTGATCTTCTGTCTGAAATGAGAAGGAGTGATGTCGGTCAAAAGTCGGAGACAGTCGCAAAGAAGTTATTGGAAAGAACTGTCATGTTTTTAAACCTAGCAGACGGTAAACAAGAGAAGCTGGCACCTGTGAGTCTCTCATTTCGCCATAACATTTCTCTGTCTGTTCTTAAAACATCTCACTGTTTTTCTGACTTGTAGTAACCTCTTACGTCACTAAAACCACACCCCTGTTGGTTCTTTCAACCAATCAGGATTTCCCAAAAAGGGACCGGAAGCGAACTCCTTAAAAAGTCGACACTTCCTAGTTCCAGTCGGTTAAAAGTTCGGGGGAAGAACAGAAGTTCTGGAGTTCAAAGTTCTGAGAGCAGAACCGAACGAAAGTTCTGAAGGGCTGGAGTTAGTTGGGAGTTCTTCCGAGTCTCGTGGGGATTATGGAATCTTCCACATCTGAGTGGAACTCTGACGGGCTC